TAATTTTTTCTTTTCTTTTTTACTTAAATGGTAGCCAAATATATACCGATATTATATTTATTTTTTTTATTTTTTTTATTTTTATTTTTTATTTTATTATATTTAATTTTATTTTTTATTTAATTTTATTTATTTATTTTTTATTATTTTTATTTTTTTTTTAATCCTTTTGTCGAGAGACAATATCACGTTCTATTTATTTTGTCTTTATTTTGACTTAGATTAGTGATTTTATTAATCTATGCTATAACTATTGTGTAATAATTGCCTCTTTTCTAATAATTAATTTTTAAAGAATGATAAAAGTTAAATAAAAATAGATTGGTGTTTATACTAGCAGAATTATACACTTTGGTCACAGCGTGTTGAAAGCGTGCATTCGGCAATTAAATATGAACTTGAGACTTCTGGGAGCTTGATAAAGGCTTTTAATTGTTTGGATAGATAGTTACATTTATACAGCAAGGAGGTTTCTTTACAATATACAAATGAAAGCATTGGCATTAATCCCTTATTAGTGCATAGTGACAAGAATTGATTAGCACCACTTTTAAGAAAAGTAGCTCAATTTGCTTTAAATCAGATTAAAAATGAACTTCTAAAAATGACTATATATAAGGTCTGTCTGTATAAACTACGAGTTAATTACAATATACCATGTAGACATATGTTTCCAACCTTGGGTCCTATATTGCTATCTATTATTCTAACAAATGGCTATTATTTTCTGATGAAGATCAACCAGATTCTGATATTCAAATGCAAAGTTCAACTAACCCTGCTTCATCTAATGAACTTTTATTGCTTAAGTCTCAGTTAAATAAAATCGAATTTCAATATGTAGATTTTTTAAATGAGCAACAAAAGTCAGCTCTTCTGAAAAAACTTAATGAGATTTTGGCAGTTCTGGCAACTAACCTTTCTAAAATTAAAGTCTCAGAAAAAATCGTAGAAAAGGGTCGTCCTTGCAGAACAAAATGATTGCTAATTGCCATGGAGCATTTGAAGCAAAAAGAGAAAAAAAAGAAAGCTAACCCTATTGAAAAAAAGTAAATCAAAAATATTAATTTTTTATCAATTTCTATTAAAAGTATATAAAAATTTTAAAAATAACATTAATAATTGGCAGGGATGATGCTGAATTTGGGTAATACTAAAATTTGAGGTCTCTTTTTAAAATATAAATCCTACTAATATACACATATATTTTTTAATTATAAGCCCTACCCTAAATAAATAAGTTCAAATTTAGCATAATTCGATTCAGGATCATCTCTTACAATAATTGTTAACTTCTTTTTTTTTTTAGATCAAAAGCTAAAAGTCCTATTAAGTTCACAAATTCTTGCTAATGATGTAGACCAGATTTATGATCCAAAGAGTAATAGTAACTGTGGGTTTTAATCGCTTGCATTTGCTATTAGAGGAAATGAGAAAAATTAGATTCTTGTTAAGTTAGCTATAAATAGTCAATTAACTAAATGCATAGAAGTTTATAAAAACTGGCTTGGATACAATACCAATTTGCTTAGTCAGATATTAGGATACAGAGCATTACATGCCCACCTTCTTTTTGGTTTCTATTTTCTGATTGTGCACAATTGGCTGCTGATATATTCTCTGTTCCTATTACTATTTTTGTTAAGTTAAACAGGCAAAGCATGCTATTTTTTTTATTAGAAACCCCGCCAACACATAGAAGAAATCTAATTATCTTATATTTCATAAATGGTAATCACATTATTTATATAAGTATGAAAAATTACGCGAATGTAAATTGGCTAATGGTTAATATACAATATGTACCAATATGTCGAAAATATAGTCTTGTTAATCATTAGTCAAAGTTATTTGCATAATCTATTTTATATATAGAAATAACTACATTATATTGCTCTAGAATTGGCGTATTTGGAAATAAGTTCTTAAAAATCAGATTCTGAATGAATGTCAAATAAAAAAAATGAAATGTATCTTTAGTTATGTAATTTTTTTTGTTTTCGCTTAAATGTGTTTATGTTTATAAATTTTAAACTAATTAATAATAGTAATTGTCACAGATGATTATAAAATTGAATTTGGATCTATTTTATATACATACATATGTATATATGATTTTTAAAAATTTTTGGAGACTTTTTTTGTTGCTTTTTTTTCTATAATTAACATCTGTGACAATAAATATTAACACTACTTCAAATACAAAAAAAATAAAATGCATGTTTGGTTTATATATTATTATAGGCACAACTACTGTATAAGTAAAATTACTATTAGAAAATCAGTTACACAGTTGAGTAGATAATTGTTTAACTTAATGATGATTGGTTAAAAATCACATTAAAATTATGTGGGCTTTTATTGATCAATTTTGTTGCACCAATAAGACAATAATCACGTAAAATGTTGTGCCTGTAGCTTTCTCCCTCCACAAAAATTTTTCAAAACATGACTACAAGCCAATCACAGTTGAAGATCAGATATAATATAACACTAAAGTAACACAAACAGAAAAATTAAAAACAATCATTCTTTTTTTTTAAAAATTGTCTATAACTCAAAAAACTGCATAGGAAACCATCTTTAGTGCACTAACAAAAAGTTTTTCTTGGAAGATTTTATATATATATTGCCAAGAACTAATGCTACTATAAGCACTAACTTTAGTATTAACAAACTTTTAAGAATTTTATTATCAAAAAATTTTTGATGGTACTTTGAAGTAGTTTGTTGGCCAATAACTTTCCCAGAACCTCAGGATCACCACAAAAATACTAATAAAATTTTTTGATCACGTGAAATTATCCAATAATAAATCACACCTTGGTGTAATGTAAAGATCAAAACAAAATATTCTTACTCAAAATTTTGGCTTTTGCTCTAACAAAAAAAATTTCTTGAATAGTTTATAATATGCTAGACCTTTCTAACCCTAATTCTGACTCTACTCTAAAAAATTTTGGTGCTATTACATGATCGAAAAAATTTTGGTCAATGACCTTAAATGACCTATATGACCTTTATGACCTGTTATAGATAATTTGTTATAATGAAGGTTAATATGACTTTATGACTTTTTAATATAATAAGATTCATAGTAAAAAATTTTTTTACTAATATTTGATATGACCTATATGACTTATGACCAAAAAATTATATAATTATATAACAAAGGTCATATCAAAAAATTTTATAATATATGTTATTAGCCAACACTGCGTGTCAGCAAACATTTATGCGGTTGCTATATACTAGTCAAATATAAGAAATTTGACCATCTAATGAAATGGCCGAATCGACCTGAATTCGACTATCGAATATTTGGCTGATATTATATCAAATAATAGAGTAAATCAGTAGCTAATAGACAGTTGAATGCTAATAAAAAATTGGCAACCGAATTCAGGTTGAAAATTTCAATCGACAACCAATTGACATAATAAAAATCGACCTGTAATCGACGACTGAATACTTATAAAATTCAGAATAAAATCGGTATAAATTCGATGCCCGAATTCAGGTCGATTCGGCCATTTCATTCAGTAGTCGATTAATTACAATAAATCAACTTATAATCGACCACCGAATACTTATAAAATTTGGAATAAAATTGGTATAAATTCAATGGCCGAATTCAGGTTGATTCGGCCATTTCATTTGGTAGTCAATTAATTACAATAAATCGACTTATAATTGACCACCGAATACTAATAATCGACAACTGCTTTCTAAAAATATTTGGTATAAATTCGATAGCCGAATTCAAGTTGAATTGGCTATTTCAATCGATTGTCGATTAATAATCAACAATCAATTACTAATAACATTCGTACAAATCGAATTCTGGATGATTTTAACATATTATAAATTTATTAAAACAAATTAGATACAAATT